TTTTTCTTGTCGATGCGTGGGGTGGCATTGGGGCCGTTTGAATGCGGACGCAGACGCGGCTGCATGCAATGACACCCTTCCGGTCTTATCAATGCAAACAGGCATCGCATGTCATTGTGTGCTTGTCCATCCCTTTATAAGGTGAGCTATCCTTTCGTCGCCCTTGAAGCCATGACAAGACCTTGAGACATCCTCGACAATTTTCCGCCTTCAGGACGGCGCACATCCTTCACCCCCCACCACCCGCCGCCTTGGCGGACCAGCCTACCTAACAGGTACTCAAGTGTCTGCGCTCTCGACCTGTTGTTTTAGCCATGTTTGCCAACAAGTCTTTGTTTTCCTGCAGCTATGTAGGCGAGTCTTCCATGGCTCTCCTCGTACGCCGTTTCCGCTGGCTTCTCCTGGCCATCGTCTTTATCGTCACCACATTCTCATTATTCGGCGACGTGAGATCGCCCTTTGAAAGACCTATTCCGCAACCTACTAGACAGCCTGTGGAGCAGTCTACCCACACTTCGCCTTCGCAGTCTAGCGAGCAAGCTTGGGTGTTCGATTCAAAGAAAGACAGTCTCAATTATGGTCTTTCCGACGACCAATGCGAGGTAAGTCACTATTTCCCGTGTCTGATTTGTAACAGCGAATTCTCGGGAGGATGCATTTGCTCATTATGTTATAGAGCGCATTTCCCGACCTATTCCAAGAGCTCGATCGCGCCCGCGACTTTCTTCTCGGCGAGAAGCGACGAATCAAAGAGTCAGACCTGAAACTGGATGCGAAAGGGGACTACACCGGCCTTCAGCATGGCGAATTCCGTGTTATGATTTCGAACGGCGAACTGTATGTGATTATGGAAAAGAAGGGCGAGCCCGATCGCTCCCGTGGCCTCGCTGCACTCGCGAGCATGTATCGCGCCATAACCGCCATTCCTGATCCCCGATCGCTCCCCGACGTCGAGTTCGTCATTGATATCGAAGACCGAGCAACGAGAGGCGAGAACAATCCGCAGCGCATCAGGTGGGCGTGGGCGCGCGAAGAGAACAACCCGTGGTTATGGGTCATGCCCGACTTTGACGGATGGAGCTATCCCGACGACGGCGTAGGATCGTACGTGCAGTTCCGCGAGGACGTGGAAGAGCTGGAGACCGAATATCCCCACGGATGGGATGATAAGGAAGCAAAGTTGTGCTGGCGAGGGAGTTTGGCCGTAAACCGCAAGCTCCGAACCGCCCTCGTGGACGCTGCGCAAGGCAACGATTGGGACGACGTCCAGGCCATTGATTGGCATAACCGCTCAAACATCCTGGATATGCGGGACTTTTGTCGCTTCAAATACGTCGCCCACACCGAAGGAAATTCGTGGAGTGGACGGCTACGATATCTGCACAATTGCAACAGTGTTCCGGTCATCCACAAGCTCAAGTATATCTTCCATTACCATCCGCTCCTAAAGGATAGCGGCCCTCACCAGGTATGTCTTCCCCATTCGATCTGGGAATGTCCTGTCCAGCTGATTATTGTATCTATTAGAACTACGTTAAAGTGAACCGCGACTGGTCAGACCTGAAGGCGCAAATGGACGGCCTCACTGCCGATCCCGATCGAGCGCGACGAATTGCCCAAGAGTCGACAAGAGTTTTCCGAGACCAGTATCTGACCCCGGCTGCCGAGGCTTGCTACTGGCGGCGAATGATTCGTAACTGGCGAGCCGTAATGGATTTTGAGCCCCGACGATACGAGACCAAAGATGGTATCAAGGTTAGGAGAGGCGTAAGTTGGGAACGTTTTGCGTTCAGACAGAAAAAGAGCTTCGAACACGGATTCTGGGAGGCGGATGGCGGCGAGGGTGAGAGTGAGTGAGTTCATGCTATGGATGCGTCAAGACAAAAACACACAGCACACCTCCCACTACCTAGACCTTCCTAGGTTCGTGAGATTCTAGGCGCCTACCACCTTCGAGACGCAGCAAGCGGTCGCTAGATCTGTTCGATCAGGTGGAAACGTGCGACCGAAGGACGGCTATCAGCAGTCAAGCCGATGGCTGAGCCTATGCATACACGGCATAGGGCAGAGGTCTAGCGGCCTATACGCGACCTGAATGAGATGAGGGTAATTCCATGATGGGTATTCGCCGTCATATCTAGGAATGGCGTGTCTACCTAGGTACCTAGGTAGTGTTAGGTAATATCACTTCGGGAATCTGATAAGATTCAGATTATGCCGCCCCTGCTTCGATTTGCTTCGATTGTCGTGGGACTATACGGGCTCTTCTAATTTACAATAGCATAGCGTCGACAGGGCAAGGACTACTGTAGCAAGTCATAATCAACTTGTGCCGCTTCACGATTAATATAATGATACCGTCTCATCTTGTTCCCCCTTCCGCATGTGAATTAGCCTTCCGTGAGGTTGTAGATTTTCTGAATGCTATGAAGCATAGCCTCATGGTCCACCTTTAGATCTTTGAGTAATCCGTCCTCGAATCCGAATACCCATCCGTGGACTATGGGGAACTGGTTCTTGGCGTACGACTGCTGCACAGAGGCGGTCTTGATGACGTTGCGACACTGCTCTACGACGCTGAGCTCTACCAAGCGGTTGTAGCGCGCCTGCTCGTCCTTAATCCCATCTAATTCTTTCTCGTGAAGACGATACACGTCCCTGATGTTCCTTAGCCACGGGTTGAGCAGACCTAAGTCCTTGGGTGTCATGGCAGCCTTGACGCCGCCGCAGCCGTAGTGTCCACATACGACGATGTGCTTGACCTGAAGATGCCGAACAGCGTACTCGATGACGCTCATGACGTTGAGATCGGTGTTGGCGACTAGGTTGGCGATGTTACGATGGATAAAGGCCTCACCCGGCCCCAGGCCCGTGATCTGCTCGGCAGGGATACGCGAATCGCTGCATCCGATCCAGAGATACTCTGGGGTCTGTCCGGCGGAGAGCTTGGCGAAGAAGTCGGGGTCCTTGCTCCTCTGCTCCTCCGCCCAGACACGGTTGTGTTCAAAGACACGGTCGTGCGTCTGCTTGAGATACTTGGTGATATCTGACTGAGACATGGCGCGCCAACCGTTGGAGCCTGCTGCCGAGCTTGAATGCCGTGGGAAGGTGGTGAGCCGAGAGTTTACTGAGCAAAATGTTCGTCCTGTCGATGAGAGAAGAAGACGGCTCATACGTGCCTTATGAAGCATCGTCTGTCAAGTAGGGGTGAAGGGAGGGGTTTAGTAAGAATTCTCGTAGCTTAAATCCACGCGAGATTTGTTGAGTTCGCCGAGATTCGAAAGGCGCCAGAGACGTCAGTGGTGGGGAGGGGGCAAGAGGGGATCAACGGAGCGAGCCGAGCCAGCTTGAGCTTGTACTACATCACTAATGCACATTCTCACACTGTATTTTAGTTTATTCTTGCTTTTCCCTTCTCACGATTGTTAACTAAGATTCCAAGGTTGTTTCGTTGTTTAGCCCCTATGTTACCCGAAGCTGCCAGGGTGTAAAGGTGAACCGTCGTAATGAAACGTTCGAAATTCTAGGGACTTAGAATAAAAGGATTCCTTCGCCATAACCTTTCTGTTGCCAACAATTTATTATAAAAGTCTTGGCCACATACGCTTACGACTAGTGTGCACCGCTTTAGTGTCAGTCTAGTTGCATGAGGCTCCTTACGAAGAGTCGTCTTACTATGCTGTTTATTATAGAAATCAGGTAGGGACTTAAGGACAGTTCACTATGTAGCTTCTCTGAGTCCGCTAATTCGATATTATCGATCAGACAACCGCGATTCACATCTAACTATTCCTCTAAAGCCAGTCGCTGAGAGTAGCGCCTCCTAATCAGCTATGGTTACAATTCTACTGATCGGGTGACATATGAGCTGTAAGTGAAGAGTTCATTAACACAAGAGTCATATCGAACGGGTAGAGGGATACTTGCATGGTAAACCAAGATCGAATCGACAAATATACTTTACGTCCTATGAATCAGGAGCCAAGATTTTGAATGAGTTTGAGGCTGTATGGTTATTGGGGCTGTGAGATTTCTGTCTTTTGAGGAAAATATATATAGGCTATCTCAGACCTGGACTCTAAAGTATTGTCGAAGTTATAGCCGAGGATACGCTCTACGCTCCTAATATATGGACCGAGCTAAGATCTATGAGGCGGCGCTGTTGTACCTTGTTTGCTAATAGGTTGAGATCTATGGCTAAAATGTATGAATCTGCGGAACTGTAAGTATATATTTTCATGAGAGCCACGTAGAGAGCTTGACTATAATGTAACCCTCAAATGAGAGATCGCGCAATATCAATTTCACACTGACTTCTCAATTGTCTACCCATTCCCCATATCATTCGACTTTCGTTAAGGGGCATTGACTCGGTCTATTCATTAGCCCTAGGTGTTTCTATGAAATAGATATGTTATTAATATCCTCAAGGTTAGATCTATGGGATGTTCCAGGCTTTGCTACAACTATCGTGGAGCTCGAACGTACCTACCTTGGAAATTGAAGCACCCAGAAAATATCAATTCCCCCATACTCATACATCATTGTTATATCTACGAGGAAAACAACAGAACCCAATCAGAGTACCAGTAAGGGGGTCCAACTTATTCAGGGGTTGACGTCGAGACAGGAAACCAGGCAGGAGGCGAAGAGCCTTGTGTGTATACCTACAAAAGGCCTTCCACATTGTGACAAGCCAAAACTGAGCAGATATGAAACACCCGCACGCATTGTACAGTCCCTAACTGCGTGACCCATCGTGAAAATGTGGTAAAGGTCATCGTCCAAGTGAAACTAAAGCTGCTCGCCACAATCTGGTTACATCCCTCCTTCAAAGTTCAAATTCCTTATGTGATATCTGTGGGCACCACCTGGGAGAGCCCAACCAAGTTAGGTTTGCGAGTGGATATATGGAGAAACTTCATTGCGAACTCCCTGTTGATGATAGGTACCTACCTAGTGGAAGATATTAGAAAAAGAAAGTAACTGAAAAAGTAAAGCTGCCCATCCTGGGGTCGAACCAGGGATCTTCTGATTTATCTGTTAATACTAACAGTCAGACGCCTTGACCACTGAGCCAATAGGCACTTGGATTGTTGGAATATCCTTTACTACACTCACTTATTCACATCAGGAACCGTTGGGCCAATGAGCAATGCGAATCTGCCCACTAGATGTGTTTGTGTGTTTAGTCTAGAAAATAGGAGGGTTGGTGACGACCTCGGGACCATATGAAGAACCATGCTGGCTATGAGTTATTAGTTTGCAAACTCGAACGCCCATTGACTCGAAAATGAAGAAAAGGTATAAATGCTAATTACCGCCGCCTATTGTAAGTGGAAAGATAGCACTAAAGACTTTCGTCTTCGCCGCCTCCTCGTCATGTTATTGGAAGTTTCTCCCGGCGAGTTCAAAGCTGGTCTGTTTCCGTATACGCTTCTTAAATCTTAACATAGCTGATAATCCATAGGTACTGTTGAGTCGTTATTGGATGGCTTAGTTCCGCCAAAAACCACGACGCATACTTGGATAATATATTCCAACTAACTCCCTGTTTAGATTAACCCTCCACAAGGTGCCAAGAATTACAAGCCTCGGGTGAGCATACGGTATATGGACGCATAACCACTGACCGTTTATGATTATAGTCACAATACATTGGCTCTCTCTGCTTCACGCCGATTTACTGGTTGCTAAGGTATCCATTCGAATAGCTTTTGTCTGTAGTGATATCTATTTACCTCTACCTTTGATAGATAGAAAGGTCATAGCATGTCCGCCTTTTAATACCCTTTACCATCATGGAACTTCAAGCGTACCGGTCTGTCGAATATCACGGCTACTGGAGCCCACGCTGAAATTGAATGTGCCTGCGGGAATGACCCATGCTTGTTTTGTCGTATCCCAGATACTCAAGTCTCGTCTCTTGAGCTCAAAGGCCACGTTATCGGAGGCACCCGGTTCCAAAGCCAACTTTCCGAATCCACGCAGCTGTTTCGGTGGGGTTGCTGCAGACTCTGGGTAGCCCACGTATAATTGAGCTACTTCTGCCCCCTGAACGGTACCCGAGTTGGCGATGGTGACAGTAACAGTTAATATTGTCTCCCAGAGATCAGCTGGCCCTCCGGGGACGATATCTCCTGTCGCGGGGCCTGACGTCGGTCGACCATCGACAAAGATGTTAGAATAAGTGAAGTTGGTGTATGCTGTGGAATATATTAGCTAGAGAACTTCTCACAGGCCAGGCCACAGTCACTTACATAGACCATAGCCAAATTCGTATCTGGGCACGACACCATCGCGGTCAAACTTGCGGTAGTCGACATAGAGACCCTCTTTAAAGTCATCATTGCCCGTAGAGACGCTGACACCGTAATCGGTAGCAGACTTGGCAATGGTGTAGGGTAGTTTGCCAGAGGGGGTAGTATCGCCATAAAGGATATCGACTAGGGCATTGCCGTTCTCTTGGGAGGGGAGACCAGCCCATACGATTGCTTTGACGTTGGGCTGAGCGAGAACCGTTTCGAGGATGACCGGACCGACAGAGTGGACAACCACAACCACATTATCACTTGCCGCCGCGACGGCCTTGACGAGTTCGTTGCCGTTGTGCCAAGGGTCAAGGTTGTTGCGGTCACCAGCGTTGTTCTCCACCGTGATGTATCCCTCACCGCTGTCGGAGGTGATGAATACAATTGCGACGTCAGCGCCACTAACAGCTGAGCTCACAGAGCCGGTGCTATCAGAAGCGGACAACCCGATCTGAGTCCCGTCAGCTTGGGCGCGGGTTCTGATGGCGTCGGCAGGGGCACTGAAATAGGGATAGGAGACAGCTCCAGAGCCCCATCCCATCCCAAGGGCACCAGTATTGCACCCTTGGTCAGTGCAAGAGTTCATGCCCTGAGGGTTGACGACCGCAGAGGAACCAACCAAACCGAGCTTGGTGGGCTTCTTCAGAGGGAGGACGTTCCCATCATTCTTGAGAAGAACGATCCCATCTCTTGCTGTGGCACGGACGTTGGTCTTGTGTGTTCCTTGTACACTGGCTCTAAGATTGGTGGCAGGATAACCACTATCCTGACCGACCAAGTAATACGCTGCTAGGACACGGCGAACCATGTCGTCAATACGCGCTTGAGAGACCTGTCCGCTACTTACGGCCTGGGTCAACTTCGAGCCCCAGTATATAGATCCGCCGTTGAAGTCGGAGCCAGGCATAGTCATATCTAACCCTGCAGTTGCTGCTGGCGCCGTAGAGTGCTGTGCGTTCCAATCGGTCATTACGTATCCCTTGAAGCCAAGCTCTTTCTTTAAGAGGGTATCCATAACATATGGGCTGTAGGATCTCAAGTCAGTAATTTCCATCCAAGGGGTGATCTGAAACCTTTGATCATGAGACATGTTCGCAGTCCTCGCGGATGTTTAGGGGTCGATGTGTAACTCTAGACAGGGTAGATTTGGTATACATCACTCACTTCTCACAGGCCCACGTGCCGTTAATCTTGTTGTATGAACACATGACCGACGCTACGTTTGCGCGGACGGCATCTGCGAAAGGCCAGAGGTACAATTCGTGCATTGTTCGGTCGTCGAGGTTCGAGCTCATCGTCTCGCGGTTGAGCTCTTGCTCGTTGAGGATGTAATGCTTCGCGTTGGCTTGGATGCCGGCACTCTGCATGCCCTCGATGGTCTCTGCCATCGCGATGCCTTGCAAGTAGGGATCGGCACCGAACCCCTCCCAATTACGTCCACCGGCAGGGTTTTTACCCAGAGGACCGGCAACTGGTCCTAGCAGCACGTGGACACCGCATCCTTTCGTTTCCTCGGCCATGAACTGCCCACGCTCTCTCATCAAGGCGCGATCCCAGGTTGCGGCTACCTGGATTCCCGGGACGAAGGCAGTGACACTCGTACCATATCGAACGCCTAGAGGACCGTCTTGCAAACACAGTTGAGGATAGCCGATCGAGCTAGCGGCGGCCGTGTTGCCGACGCAAGGACCTTTGTTCCAGCCTACTCCGGTGACGATGTTGATCTTGTCGTTCTGCGACAGCTTCGCCAGCGAAGCATTGGCTTTCTGATAAGCCGCCTCCCAGTCGATTATAGCGGCCGAGGAGGCCGTAGCGAACAGCACTGCAAAGATTGAAGACCTCATCATTGTCGATTGAGCCCGGAACATACCAAGCAACAAGGGTCCTTCAAGAGCGCTTGCTCCAAACCCCTAGGTCCTTCCTCGCGATCCTTATATGATCTATCCGACAGCTGTTGCCTCTTCAATGGGAAGCATTCGGTTCCACGGGGCAATATCATACCCCAAGCTTTCCACATATCGTAGCGTCATGAGAATCACGGATCTACCAGATCTGGCAATTAACGGAGGAGCGTAACAGGAGGTAGATGGCATTTTCTTGCCGAGTTCCACGAGTGGAATAGATTGATGTTCTTGTCCCATCTTGGCCAGCGGCAGCTTCTCGGGTCGTAGCTCTCAATAAGTCGAAGATCTACTTTCTCAATGTAGTTGGGTATGGTATTTTCCCGGAAGGCGATCCCATGGGGGTGGCAGAAGGGAAAAAGGCTTTGGTTCCGGGCCGCATTAGCCATATATTAATTAACGCCCCATCGGCGCCAGGGGTAGTGCTAGTTAACCTTGCATGGCATTGTAACGCCTGAATTTCGAGATCAGGGGTAGACGCCAAGCTCGCTGATGGTTGACCTACTTACTGCCGATTCGTCCACGAATCATCACATCACAAATCTGCTCAGCACTGGGCATAATGCTTCATGCCATATAGATGTAACATTAATTCTGCTCCCGCCTCGCGTGTCTCTCTTTAAGCTTGGAGACTCTAACATGGTTGGCCTCGGGGTAATTGAATTAACGAATTTAGATTGGTTAAAATCGTCCGCCTGCGCGGTGGGATGTTTATTCTCTGGCACCACTACTGCTTTGTCTGAAAGCCAATGGTTAAATATAGCACCTGTTGGAAGAGCTGAGAAGTCAACCGGCAAGGCTTCAGATCTGAGGCGACGTAGATCGGGAGCGCGATGATTGCCTGACTGTAGTCAGGGTCGAGAAAGCTCCTATACGTTGCTACATACCTAGGTAGTTACTAGGGGTCTTGCGTGTACTGCTAATACGACAACAGCCCATCCAAAGTAGAAAATTATTACCTTACCACAACAATGTGTTGTCGAATGCTTGATAGGAAGCTAATTCCCGTATAAGTGAGAGCCATATACATATTTGTAGCGTGACGCACAAATTCAATATAGGTAGCAAGCAGCTGCCCTTGTGGCTGTTCTTGTTGTCCTTGTCCTTCCCTCGTCCTTGTTTGAGAGTCTAGGAGAAATAAACTTCAAATGAGCAGTGCCCCTGTACGGGGGGGATACAGCTGCGTCTAAGTTGTTATAACATACCAGATACATATGTACCTCTAGGCACCTACCATTTATTCATTGCACAGAGGAAGCTTCAGTCGGGTCAATAGTGTCCATAATGAAGGTAGGAATGAATCGATTGACAAAGCACGTCTAATCACGCATCCACGACAACAGCTCTGTCAGTACCAAGACTCCAAATGTCAAGACTGGGACCAAGAATTCAGACCAGTTCTCATTCTCTCAATTCCTATTCTAATATGTACGAATTTTATTCAAGAGCCGACTAACTTAAACAACGGGGGTTCCTCCAGTCGACTGTGCGTTGACCGAGAGTGCTGTTAGCCCTGGAGGCGTTTATGAATTGAATTAGGTATACCACCTGACTACCTACCACCAGGCTTTATATATAGGAAGTACCTTGGGCACACACCGATTAATGGATACTACCTACTAGTAGAGTACCAATAACCCTGGCAGGTATCAAACGCATATCGACAACTCCAGCTCATACCATCTTATAAGCCACAGTTAGCATTACAACGCAAAAAGGAGAAGCTAATTACAACAAGCTTTCATCCGGTATTGATCGAGATACCCTTGAGAGTTCTGGGCTTGGGTAAGGCGTGCGCCTGGGGAAGCTAAAAGAATCAAATAATAGCCAACCTTCCAAGCACGCAATAGAGGTATATAGGAAGTAGGTGCCTTT